TTTCCAATAATGCCATCCACTGTCTCTGCAGCCACTGTTGAACGACTGGCCTTGTTCCATAACCCTGTGCACTTTGTGGTAGCGCTTCTATATACTGTTTTTTTTCTGTTTGTGAAAGTAGCCACTTGTCAACATCATTACAAGAAACAAGATTGAATGTGTGTGATGCACACACTGTAACTGTAACGGAATACAGTTACTCGTATTTTGTATTTTAAATACATAATGGCGGTACATGTATTCCGTTACTCCCCAACACTGGACATGTTGTATAGAGCACTTTGAGTAATCTGGGAGAGTAGAAAAGTGCTACATAACAATCACTCCATTCACTTTCTCAACAGAGTTTTGTCATCTTACTTTTGCAATATTGTGTTCCGGCACATGTTGTTATTACATGGCTTGATTAAGGTACATATTAGGCTGACATCTGGGGCCAGAGCTAAAACTGTTTTGGGTCAGCACAGGGCCAGCAGTGTGTCTGCAACTGGCCCGTGGCTGCACACCACTTACACATACCACAAAGAATGACGGCCCTTTGCTGGCCCAGATCAGGTTTGCCAGAGGTAATCCACACATAGGCCAGCACAGGACCACCAGTGTGTCTGCAACTGGCCTTGTGCTGGCCCATGTGTGGGCCACCTCTGGCAAACCAGGTCTGGGCCACCAGAGGACCATCATTCTCTGTGGTATGTTGGCCATGTGTAAGCACATTGTGGTTGGCCAGATCTGGGCCATACCAATTTTGCTATCTGGGAGCGCATTTTCTTGTTAGTAACAGTAACGCTGTTGTAACGATAGAAATAGTAATTAGTTAGATTACGTTGTTACTGAAAAAAGCGTTAGTAACGCTGTTACTTGTAACGCCGTTATTCCCATCACTGGTAAAGACAAAGTCACAGAAGCTTCCAGTTTTGTTTGACAGTGTGTCGAACAAACCTGATGACACCAACTCACAGAAAGCTTCAAGTCAACCAAACACATCCAAACTCTGAGGTTTTTTTCCAAGGCTGGAAGAAAACTAATGCCAAAATGAATTTTTGAGAAGCTGAAACAGCTTCATGTCTGTAATCACAAGGTAGAAATAGTATTTTCTGAAACACATTTTTTTCCTCCCCGGAGCGAGCTGTGAGCAATAAAGTCTCCACATCTTCTTGTTTTCTCATTTCCTTTATCTTCCAGACTTTCCAAAGATTGAAGTTGGGACCTTTTACAAGAACTATATTAGTTTATTCTGGTGCAAACTTCCTCAGTGATCTGTATTTCTACAGCCACATATTCCAGCTCAGCATCTTTAGCTAAATCTTTGTGTGTTCTACTTTGTTAAATGAGTGCTGCACAGCCACCAGCAGAAGCATGAAGCCTATCATGTCACAGTGACGTGTACCCATGAATAACAGGATCAAGTTTCGTATTCAGCCATATTTCCTGCATAAATCAACTTTAATTAGCTTAGGTTATATACCCATTCAAATTTGATTCGAACCTGTTTCAATGATAACAAACAATATTACTTACAACTTGTGATGGCAACAGATTAACATAGGTGAAACGGCCCCTGGCTAGATCTGGAATAATAATATACACAAAACAACCACTAGAGGGCTTCAGAACAGAAAATGCCTAATTCCATCACAAGGCTTTTTGCTGTGATTTTCCTTTGAGCACACAAACACATCTGTCTTCACTTTCTCTGTTTTTGATGCAGCACTTTTTAAAATTCTGAGCTGAAATCATATGAATGAAACAGCTTCTAAAAAAAAAAAAATCCATCCTCAAATTCCAGCAGATTCTTCACCAGGACACTTTGTGATAGTTTGCATGTTTCATGCAAACTCAAGTGATACACAACATATGCAGTGTGATACACACATATTTACATATTTCATGTGTTTGATAACAAAGCTGGTACCAACATCCTGCACCATGTTCTTGTTCAACATTGGAAAAACACAAGACTACTTTCAAATCAGGATTGAAGCCTTTGCTGTTTATTAGATAAGCCACATGCATTATGATCCGTCAAAACAATCATATTATGGTTATAACTGCATTTAAAACTATTGGGCCAATATTTTCAGCTTATATGGCTGAAACATTTTCAAATTATGAGCTTCCAACAATGAGTGATACAGTAAGAGCATGTGGAGACTTTGGAAAAATCCCATTAAGAAAGAGAAATCAAACATTTGGATTCATTTTAATGAGCTCAGGCTTGATGAAAATGCAGAGGAGCTGGTTGTGAACTGAGCTTCAGAAAAACACAACTAACCAAAAACCAAGGCAGAAAAAAAAACATATGGATCCTGGAATAATGGTATCTTCCATCTTTAAAGGACTGAAGAGGAAGAAATTTACAAGAAATCATTTCGAACAGTTTAAAACATCAACTGAATCCATGAATCTGAAAACATGTTTCTGAGTGAAAGAGACAGACATGTACAGACTGAACTACCTGTTCAACAGTCAGTGTTTCTCTAACAGGAGGACACTCTTTACACTCAACTCAGCACAGACACACTGAGGCACCCATAAAGACTTTTAATCCAGGATAGAGAGGTTCAGTGAATGTGGTGTTGAAGGTGTGGAGATGGATCAGAGTGTCAGAGGAGACTCTGTAGAAGGACAGAGTGCCAGCAGGAAAGTCCACGTACACTGCAATTCTGTTAGAGACGGAGGAGGAGGAGGTGGTGGTGGATACGAATTTGGTATCGTGACAAACATAAATAGGACCATCATTAGTGCAGTACAACCTCCAGGAATGATCATTCTCTCCAAACAAACAGTCATTGCTGACTCCTTTCCTTCTTATTCTTCTGTAACTCACTGTCATCCAAACCTCTCCTTTCCACTCGACCTCCCAGTAACCGCGATCAGTCAGACCATCTCTACACAGCAGCTGATGAACATCAAATCTGTGTGGATGATCAGGATATGACTGAACCTCCTTCACACATGTCACCTTCCTGTTGTTGTCAGACAGTTTGAGGTTTCTGTGTACTGTGTTTGTGTCAATTGTGGGTTGACAGGAATCTGGTGGAGAGAACAAACACAATCCAGCTGCAGTTATTGATCCATCATCTGTTCCCTGATTGACACTTTGATGCCTCCTGACATCAGAGATGTGAATGAGTGATGTGACAGTTTGAAGATGGTTGAATGTGTGCTGCTTTGTTTTCATGAATCACATTAAAAACACACTTACACTTCCTCAGACCTGGTCTCAACCACTGGACTCCAGCAGGCTCCACCCTGAAAGGAGGAGGAGGGTCAGACCAGCACAGTCTATTTCAGCATGCACACATGGACATTACATGGATTTAATACACATAATTTTAGACACTGATAATGGAACAGTCCAACAGTTTAACATATACACTTCATTCCTTAGGTGGATCAAACCGCTGATGATTTGGACTGATCCTGGATCTGTCAGTACATCACTGTATTGAAAGAAATATGACTGATTCAAACAGTGACCTTCATTATTGTTTAGCTGGAAAGGACACCTCCCTGTCTTTGGTGTCTTTATTGAGATTGTACATGTAAAACAAAATCATGGGCGAGCTCGCTCCAAGTCCTCCAAGTACTATTAATAGTAGACAGCAGGCATAAACACCAAACTGGAGAAATATATATAAAACAAGAAAAGGCACACATTGGGAATCTGTAATTTACTGTGTAATATGTAACTGTACTGAATGCTGTAATTACATCACAGTTACAATTATGTTCTTACTTCTTTTGCAAAGTTTGTTGAGTTGTTTTGACGCAGGGTGATTATTTAAAAAAAATGCATTTGTCTTTAACCAAACTGTGCTACAATCAGTTTTTGTTGTTGCAATGGTTTATAGTCAAGGTATAAATATTACTTTTATTTTTAATCGCACAAAATGACACAAGTGTGATGATGAAATACACACTACATCCAGGACAAGTTCTGCTAACAGAACTTTAGCTCTGTTAGACTCAAAAAAAAATTTCTATCTGTTCATTTTTTTATATTAGAATCACTATGAAGTAGTGCTGTCAGCGTTAATCTCATTAAAATGACAGTAATGCCATAACTGTATTAACGCAGCAAATCTCTGTTAGCGAGTTAATGAAGATCGCCCGTGCTTGGGGCTGCATGGCGCTAACGCGTTAATGAGCCAACAGAAAGTTAATGCGGTTATAGCGTTAACGTCATTTTAATGAGATTAACGCAAACAGCACTAAGCGCTAAGTAGCTAACCGCATTTCAGTAAGTTGCCAGTACAGTAGATCAACCCAGTTTATTTAAGTTGCCTTAACTTAGGAAAAATATAGTAAGCTGGAAATTTTGCTTCTTAGCGCAGAAGGACAAAATGATATGGTTTGAAAATGACATGTCACTTTCTTCCTGTCAGTCCACATGTTCATGGCACTTAGGTTTTTTTTTTCCAGAATATGTTGAGCAAACCTGGGTTCAGCTGGAGAAGCTTCAGCTCAAGGGATTATTGTTGTCATTGTTGCAATTCTTTACACTGATTTGGTGAGTAAATGTTTACACTCATTCAAATTGTTTTTGTGCCTTCTCTAAGTTTAGCACCAGGTTTATCAACTTGCTAGTTAGCAAGTGTTAGCCTAGCGTTGCAGCTGCCCCTTGGCTCATGTTACTTAAAAATTAACACCACAGCTTTAAAAACCTTATACACAAATATCTCTCAGTGAAATTTTCTGTTGATTGTTTGAAAAAGAAAAGTCAGCAGCTACTAGATAAAAGCCCAGACTAAACATTTTTGGAAGGTGCAGCCATTAGGAGCAGGCCTTGTTTTCAATCCATATGAATTTTAATAACATATAAACTGTAACCCCTGTATTTATTTTAATGCTTTGTTCCTCTGCTTGCTTTTTACTGTCTTTGGGGCTTGGACCATCACTCCCCAGATTACATCAAACTCCTGCAAGTCTAGAAAAGGAACTGTTGGACAGAAAGACATCAGCTGAGTAGTAAGTATTTTGGATTTCCAATATATTTGTAACTATCAGTGACATTTATATTAATCAGGATGAACTTTAAATATACTTTAGCTCAACCTGTTTTTCTTATTGTTTCATTTGTGTTTTGGTTTGGGGAAGTTGTTTCTTTATTGATCTTTTCCTGTCTGTTGTTATTAGACTTGAGATATGACTCCTCTCTGCTGTTGCTGATGACGCCAGCTAATTCTACAAGACATGCTGTGTAAGCAAATACAAACAACGACAGTTTGATCTTCATTTCTTTAAAGATCGTATCCCACAAACTTAGTTTAGAGGATCCACACTGTCTGCACTATAGATAGTGAAGTTTTTGAGCAGTGAAATTTGTTTTGTTCTGAAATGATTCTATAGATCATCAGAATGAAAAGTTATTGGGCATGTTGCATAGCCCTTTTAAAAATATCCTTTCATGACATTATTGTGTGTCGGGTTGTGGTTGGGGCCTCTCAAGCGGGACATTGCACGTCCCTCTCTGTGATCACCATGAAGCTGTTGGGCTTGGACAGCCATTAGATAGTGGAGCCTCCAGCTCTCACTGGAGCAAATCACAGCTGAGTGGAGTGGCAGAAATAAGAATCACCACCTCTAAATCTTTAGCTATGGTCCTCAGCCAGAAAATGGTGGAGTGCCCACTCTGAATCAGGGATGAGTTGCTGCCCCATGTTGAGGAGGGTTTTGTTCACAAGTTAGCAAAGAGGGAAACAATAGATAGACAGAAGGCTGTGGCGGCCGCTGTTCCAGTCTGTCATGGTGAAGAGTCATTCAAGAAGGGCTCAGAGTAGGGCTGGGCGATATGGCCTAAAATTCATATCTCGATATTCTTTAGCTGGATGGCAATATACGATATATATCTCGATTTTTTTTTTTTAAGCCATAAAATAAGAACAAAAAGAAAGTTCTTAGTCAAAGCTGTGTCCCAAATCTCACACAGGCACTTTTATTAACATACATGTTTATGTACATGAAAAAATTACTCAGAAATAAATCATCAGCATTTATATGACTTTTTTGCTTGCAGGCCGTTAGGAGAGTTGAGGAATGCCCCAGACCTCACAGATCTCTCTCCTTTCTGCTGTCAAACCTGCATTTGAAAAGTTTACTAAAGGGCTGGGCCCCCATTTGGGGCCTCATAACACATACATATAGGGCCTTGGGAGTGGGCATGCTATAGGGCGTCCAGAGGATGGTCTTTGTACTCCACCCCACCTTTGGCGCTGGTGCCCACCTCTTAACATATTGAGGGTTTTCGGTAGGGGCCGCGCTGACACCTTCTGCTTTCTGGCAGCCACCTGCTGGTGGCTGATTTCCTTAGCCATCGGTGTGTTTGTGGTACTTGGTGTCCGGAGCTGGGTGCTCAGCTCCTCAGCTCTTTTGGTGGTATGGTTGCCCAATGGTCCTTCTTGGGCTCTCGTGCTCTGGGGGGCCTCTGGATGTCAGGGAACTGGATCTCCTGCATGCCTGCTTCATACCCTGAAACAGGCATGCAGGGCAGGGCTATGGCTCCCCACACTCTCTAGTAGATTGTTACATTGAGAAACCTTTTGAATACAAGTGCGCTCGTGCACACAGGTGTACACATGGATGTTCACAGACACAAACTATCTACCTTGGCTGCTACCTCAAAGCATATTGTGCACTGTCAGTCTTGTGTGCTGCACACTAACATTCAATACTTATTATTTACAGTTACTTACACTTATAGAGGTTGTTGCTGTGGTATTTCTACCCCTACTGTGGTATTCTCTTTTTACTTGTTTTCTTTTTTTCCCTTTCAACAGGATATCCACCGGATTTCTTGTCTTTTCTCACTGTCCATCTTTACCTCTGTTTTTCTTTCTCTCCCTTTCTTTCTCCCTCTCCTATCCTTCAGTCATGTCTGTCCAGTCTGTAATTTAATTTAATTTAATTTAATTTAATTTAATTATAAAGACAAATCAAGTGCACCAATATGGCAAACCATAATGATCCACTTGAAAAAATAGCATCCTTTTGGCCATCAAACAATAATTCTGATTGCTAAATTACCAAACGGTACAGCCAAAAAAAAAAAAAAAAAAACTTGCTTTGAAGAAACCTCTGGCAGATCCAAAAGAAGGGTTGCCACAACCAGTTAGGGTGAGGAGAGGAAGATGGATGAAAAGAAACACAGTGGAAGAAAGCAAGAGATTAATAACACCTCATGATTAGCTGCAGAGAGTGAAAAGAGGTGAAAGAAGAAGAAACAATAGTGTGCAATAGATATAGGTTTCCTGTGTGTGTGTGTGTGTGTGTGTTAATGTAACATCTGCATGAAACAAACACAGATTAAAGAATTAAATTATTTAAAGTTTACAGCTCTTCCTCCTTTATCAGACATTATTCCCCTACCTGAGAGTGTCCAGTCTCCAGCGTGGATCTTTCAGTCCAGCCGACAGCAGCGCCACTCCTGAGTCTCCTGGATGGTTGTAGCTCAGGTCCAGCTCTCTCAGATGGGAGGGGTTTGAGCTCAGAGCTGAGGCCAGCGACGTACAGCCTTCCTCTGTGATCAGACAGCCTGATAGACTGTAGACAGGCAAAAAAAAAAATCCATCTGTGAATACTGCACACAAGGATTGTTTTATTGTTTTTCTTATTTCCAAATTCAGGGCCATCCATTTGACTTAATAGAACTATTGTTTCAAGTTTAATTACCTAAATCTCTTCTTGGGAACACAAAGAACCACAAGTAACCTTGCACTCTAAAAGTGAATATGCTATTATGCTTTCTTTATGGTCTGATCATTCAGGATTTTGTGAGAAAATTATTTTAATTAAACTCTGAATTTAAAAGGAAACCACTTAATAGAAGATATTATGGGAGAAGTATGATCTCTCTTTCATTGCCTCTATAATCTCACCACAGTAATTTGGAGCAATTGAAAACTTCTGTGAGAGCATTTAGAAAAAGTGGACTTCAAAGTAACAAATGCTCAAACCATTTTTTCAACATCTGAGAGAAAATGTTTTCAATTTTTTCACTATTGGTCAGATGAAAGAAAGAACCAGCCACAATTCTGCTATCCTTGGCACCATTGTAATGTAGCACTGGTCCCAAGCCTGGATATATAAAGAGGTTTTTCATCAAGAAGGTCATCTGGTGCAAAATTATTGCCAAAGCATTCAGATGATCAAGATTTTTGATCAGGTTTTCCCCAGAGACCTCAATTAAGTCAATGTTGCAGTTTCAAATTTGTTGTCGTGTCACCTGCGCCGGCCCCGGAAATACTATAGTCACTGGAGATAGATAACCAGATACAGATAACCAATAACCAGAGGGTTTTTTTTATTTATTACATTTTTTTCTACTTGGAGGTTGTGTCACAGAACAGGGAAAATTGAATTGGTGGTTTATAAGAAGTTTCTGTTTTAGGCTACACTTCCTACTTTTCCAGGAATATTTTCATGACAGTAATGTACCTAGTAGTGTTGAAAGAGGCAGATGAATAAGCAAAACATTTGACACTGAGCAGTACAGCAGCAGTGACACAACTGGAGAAAAGGAGACTATAGTGCTAGTGATATACTAAGAATTTAATTTGAAACTGTGCTCTCAAAAGCAGATATAGATCACAGTATAATATGAGTCACTATGTAAAAGTTTGAAATTAATTGAGCTGAAAGGTTTAAGCTACACAAAACAACACTTTGCACTTGTTGATGCATTCTCAATCACCCAGGAAAGTAAATCTCCAAAAGTTGATTCTGTTCATCTGGACGTAGCGTTTTGTGGGAGAAACGTTTCGTCACTCATCCAAGTGGCATTTTATTAATTTATTTAGTTTATTTAGGTTTCCAAAGTTATTTTTGTATTATTTATTTATTTATTTATTTTATTTAAGGAAGTCAAAAAGGATAGATGAGGAGATGTTGAAAATTCTCATCATGTATTCATCCAGAAACTATTTCACCAGGGTGTAAGGGTTAACACAAATAAATCAAACTCCAATATATAAACATACTTTGTAAAAAGCTACAGCTACAGGACTTGCTAACAACTGTGCTACTGTGCTGCTGTAAATAAAAGGTTTGAAGTACATTTGCTGCAATCCTGTATGAAACAATTTGCAACAATGAAAATAAATTGATATGTTATGAATCCAAAATATCTGAAATCTCTCAACAGACCGGCGCTAAAAAGCATGTTATACACACAGGATCATACTCAATTTTTTTAATGATATGAAAAAGAATAAATGAATTAGTAAATCAGAGGCTAACATAAATATGAATAATAGCTAAATTTTGAATTTGACAATGTTGTTGTTTGATCAATACTATAATCCAGATCATAAACCTAAATTAATGAAAAAAGCTTTAATCCTCACCTGAGAGTTTTCAGTGAACAGCTTGGATTCTTTAATCCAGCAGACAGAAGCTTTACTCCTGAGTCCTGCAGGTCATTGTTACTCAGGTCTAGTTCTCCCAAACTAGAAGACAGGGAGCTGAGAACTGAACGCAGAGCTTCACAGCTTCTCTCTGTGAGGTTACAGCCAAACAATCTGAAATCCAATTTGTGATGAAATTAAATAACTTATTTTTAACTTACCACCAGAAAAAAAAATTCTGACTCTACTTCATAAATAACAATACAACTCATAGAAAAAAATAGAATTAGGTTTGAAACAGCACAGTTACACCTCTGTATCTGTTAAGTAAGTAGAGAGCTAGTACTTTTACTGATTATAGCTCAATAACCACTGACACAGGCATACTTTTCAAATTAGAATACCAGTGATTGCTGTTGCCTGATACAGTTTAAAATAATTATTAATTATCACATACTGAACCCCCAATGAAACCACCATTCATCATCTGTTGGAAACAAGGTGCTTTAGCATCATAGATTTTTATGATTTTCTTTTTATTTATATTAGTTTTTGAAGAGTTAAAGAAAAGCTCTGGATGCAATAGATGCAATAAACCATAGTTGCATAAACATTTCAACAATAAAAGTGTATATAGATGCATACATACAGAGCTTTGTTGGAGGCTTTGACCACTGGCAGCATTCTCAGAAGAGCCTCCTCTGAAGCAGAGTATTTCTTCAGGTCAAACACATCCAGATCTTTTTCTGATGACAGTAAGATGAAGACCAGAGCTGACCACTGAGCAGGAGACAGTTTATCTGTGGAAAGTCTTCCTAATCTCAGCGACTGTTGAATCTCTTCCACTAGAGAATGATCATTCAGTTCATTCAAACAGTGGAACAGATTGATGCTTTTCTCGGCAGACAGATTCTCACTGAGCTTCTTCTTGATGTACTGAACTGTTTCCTGTTTGTTACTTTGTGTCTCTGTCAGAAGGCCTCGTAGGAGAGTCTGATTGGTCTGCAATGAAAGACCCAGGAGGAAGCGGAGGAACAAGTCCAGGTGTCCATTTGGACTCTGCAAGGTCTTGTCCACAGCACTCTGGTAGAAGTGTCTCCCTGCAGATTCTTCTCTTCTTCTTTTAGACATTTGGGATGTAATTACTTGTTCTACCAGCAGATTGACTCCAGAGTTGATGACGGTCAGATGGACATGAAGAGCAGCCAGAAACTCCTGAACACTCAGATGGATGAAGCAGAACACCTTGTCCTGGTACAGTCCTCTCTCCTCTTTAAAGATTTGTGTGAACACTCCTGAGTACACTGAGGCTGCTCTGATATCGATGCCACACTCTGTCAGGTCTGATTCATAGAAGATCAGGTTTCCTTTCTGCAAGTGATCAAAAGCCAGTTTTCCCAGAGACACAATCATCTTCCTGCTCTCTGGACTCCAGTGTGGATCTGTCTCAGCTCCTCCTTCATACTTGACCTTCTTTACTTTGGCCTGAACCACCAGGAAGTGGATGTACATCTCAGTCAGGGTCTTGGGCAGCTGCCCTCCCTCTCTGGTTTTCAGCACATCCTCCAGAACTGTAGCAGTGATCCAGCAGAAGACTGGGATGTGGCACATGATGTGGAGGCTTCGTGAGGTCTTAATGTGGGAGATGATGGTGCTGATCTGCTTCTTATCTGTGAATCTCTTCCTGAAGTACTCCACCTTCTGTGGGTCAGTGAACCCTCTGACCTCTGT